TGCGCCGCGTCTGGTTACGGGCTGGTTATGCGCGTTTGACTGGGATGTGAGTTTAGATCCCTGTCTCTCTGTCTCCACCGTACCTCCCTCGCAGGATTGTGGCGAGGACAAAATAGGGAAGGGAGAACCCCGAGCTCCTTGAAGGAAGGGTGGGATAGAACAGCGCTAGACAGCTGTCCAGTGACAGTAGTGTGAACCGGCACCTTAGAACTTTAGCACTCACCAGCAGTCTTCCACTCACCAGCTATTCCCAATAGCAAACCACACAATTCAGTCCAGTGGTAACTATTTACAGGAAGTTTATTTACAGTATATACAGCTCTCGGACAAAGTGCTTCGCCAGCTTCCATATAATGCACAAGAACACTGTACAGAGGTACATTTCTATCTATATACTTATGTCAGCCAATCAGCACAGGGCTGACTCACTGTGACCCTGTCTTTGCCCAGACATGTCCAAACTGGCTAGATCTGGTTTGCAGCATCTGTCAGCTGTCAGATCAAGAAAATCTTAATGCTGAAGATTACATACCGACATACCTTAGAGTAGCAGCGCTGGGAAGACCCCTGCACCTGGGCCCTTAGGGAGGGGTCATGGCTCAGTGGAAGAGCCTCTGCTTGGCATGCGGAAGGTCCCAGGTTGGATCCCTGGCATCTCCAGGTACAAAGGACCAGGCGGTAGGTGATGTGCAAGACCTCTGCCAGGGGCCCCGGAGAGCCGCTGCCAGTCTAAGTAGACAGTCCCAACCTTGATGGGCCAGTGATCTGATTCAGTACAAGAAGAAGAGGAGATTGGATTTATACCCTGCCCTTCACTACCTGAGGCAGTCTCAGAGCTCTTACAATCTCTTTTCCCTTCCCCCTCCCCACAACAGGCACCCTGTTAGGTAGGTGAGGCTAGAGAGCTCTTTTGAGAACTGCCCTTGGGAGAACAGCTCTGAAAGCACTTGTGACTGACCCAAGGTCACACCAGCAGCTGCCTGTGGAGGAGTGGGGAATCAAACCCGGTTCTCCCAGATAAGAGCCTGTGCTCCTAACTACTACACTAGCTTCATGTGTTCCAGAGAGCTGCTTCCTGCTGGAGGGAGACACAACTGAGCCAGACAGACCAGTGATCCCGCACACAATAAGGCCGCTTGGCACTTTCAAAGAGAGCGGCCGATGGGGAAAGCCTCCCCTGCAGGTTTTCATCGTGACACAAAGGAGCTGCTTTGGGTCTTCATTTGGGGAGAAAAGTGGGGGTATAAACGAAGTGCCCTGACCTGGGTGGCCCCGGCTAGCCCGATCTCATCATGTCTCGGAAGCTAAGCAGGGTCGGCCCAGGTTAGTACTTGGATGGGGAGTCCACCAAGGAAGCCCAGGGTTGCTACGCAGAGTCAGGCGATGGCGAAACCACCTCTGCTCACCACTTGCCTTGAAAACCCGACGGGGTTTGCCATAAGTCGGCTGTGACTTGACAGCACTTTCCACCATAAGTAAATAAATATGTCTGCAATTTGGTTCCTTTTCCTCCTTGATGGTTGGGAATTCTCCTGTGGCTGCTTGGATGTAGGGTTGCCAACCTCCAGGTGGTGGAAGTCCAGTCAAAACATCCATGACAAAAATGACGAAGAGTCAATTATATATATGTGTGTGTGTGTGTGTGTGTATGTGTGTGTATGTTTACTATAACAGTAGTGATTCTCTGGAAAAATCTCTTCTATTCTCACTCTCACGCAACGGATTTCACGCAATAACAAATGCCCGTTTCACATAGATTGCTTTATCTGAGCGTGTAGTAATTGTAATTGTAATTACTACATGCTCAGATAAAGCAATCTATGTGTAACGGGGATTTGTTATTGCGCAAAATCCGTTGTGTGTGAGCGAGAATAGAAGAGGTTTTCTAGAGGATTTTTCGGATATATATATTATTATTTTTTTATTGACTCTTCGTAATTTTTGTCACGGATGTTTTGGTTGGACTTCCACCTCCTCCTGTGATCTCTCACCTTTGGCTTCAACCTCCAGGTGGTGGCCGGAGATCTATTCATGTGAACAAAATGGCCGCTTTAGAAGGTGGACTCTATACCATTATACTGCCACCGAAGTTCATTGCCTCCCCAAACTGGGGGTGGCAACCCTATGGAGCAGCCAGTTTGGCATCCAAGGATTGGAAGTTTTTGAGGACTGGCCCTGTTTGAGAGGAAAATGAGGTGCTGCTCCCACATGAATATGTTCTTGACATCCACAGACTCTTCGTAATTTTTGTCACGGATGTTTTGGTTGGACTTCCACCTGTGATCTCTCACCTTTGGCTTCAACCTCCAGGTGGTGGCCGGAGATCTATTCATGTGAACAAAATGGCCGCTTTAGAAGGTGGACTCTATACCATTATACTGCCACCGAAGTTCATTGCCTCCCCAAACTCGGGGTGGCAACCCTATGGAGCAGCCAGGAGATAGGGGAAGCTGCTGTCTCACGCTCAAAATTAGTTTGGCATCCAAGGATTGGAAGTTTTTTAGGACTGGCCCACCCGCCTTGTTTGAGAGGAAAATGAAGTGCTGCCCCCACATGAATATGTTCTTGACATCCACAGCTGCTGACTTCTAAGTATCGGTTCCCTGTACGCTCTGGCAGCGACTACCTTTGACTAGTCAGGCTGGATCAGCTGCTGCCAGAGCAAACGAGGAGCTGAAGTTTATATTAACGGAGGGCGTTTTAATCCTTAGCCTTCTCGGAATGCTATAACCTAACCTTATGTGTGCGTTTAGGAAAAATATCTGCCAGGCTTGTCCTACCTTTCTGCTAATCTAAACAGCATCGTGATGCCCAGTCCGCAAACTGGGCCATGAAGGCTGAGTTCTCTGGTCATTCACTTCTGATTTCTCTGTTGTTGGCAGGTACACTTTCAGAGAATGGCCAATACCCTGGCATCTGAACTCAAAACATAACAGGAAGAGATTCTACTTTCTGAAAAACGTCGAGCCTTTTAATAGGTAAAACAGGGAGCCCGTATCCTTCTGTTGTTGTTTTTGCTCTCCCTTGTCTCAGCCGATTTGCCGCCTTCTTGAAAGAGGAGAACAAAATGAGCTCTATCGTTTCTTACTTATTACTTCCTTCTGGTCATTTCTGGTGGTTCTTATTTATGTTTTTTTTAACCTTTCAGGCTGCGCCTTGAAAAATATCTACGCGATCAATACAAGGCGAAAAGAAGGGAGCAAACCAATCGGAGGAAGCTGCTGAAAAGGTACCCTCATCTTGCCGCAAAGTCTGAGAGTTAACGTGGAGTTGAAAGTGTTCCGTGTTTGGTAGACTAGCTGGCATGACAGAGTCACCCTGAGCTGCAGTGTGATACAGATCCTGTTTCCAGTAACTGGCTGTAAGTGGACAAATACTCTGTTTCCAGTAACACCCTCGGTGTTTGTTTTTTCTTACCAAAATAAAGTTGCTCCATTTGCCTATGAAGTATTTTATTTATATCCTCCCTTCCTCTCCAGTGGGGGTCCCTAAACAGCTTACGTCCTTCTCCTCTCTTCTGTTTTATCCTCACAACAGCCCTGTGAGGTAGGTCAGGCTGAGAGTGTGTGGCTGGCCCAAGGCCCCCAGCAAGCCTCCATGGCAGAGGAGGGATTCAAACCTGGATTTCCCGGGTCCTAGCCCAATTCTAACCAGTATACCATGCGGGCTGTCATTCACTTACGGATTTACTTCAGGGAGTAGGTTTTGATACCCCACTTTTCTCTACCTTAAGAAGTCTCAAAGCAGCTTACAATTGTCTTCCCATTCCCCTCCCCACCACAGGCACCTTGTGAGCAATGCTCCCTCTAAGCTGTGGAGTCTTGTGAGCAAAAATTGTACTTTGTGAGCAGGGCCGGCCCCAGGTATTTTTGCACGCTAGGCGAGGACACCTTCTGCCCCCGCCCCCCCCCCCGGTCCGCCCACCAATTTCTGGTGTCCCCCCCCTTCAGGCGCCCTCGCAGCCGCCCGGGACCGTCCCTCCCTCCCAGCAGCCTCTCACTCCCAGCAGCCCCGCTGGGGCACCTCTTTCAGCACTGAACGCGGTCACGGGGCAGAGAAGCCACACGGAAACACGGGGGCAAGCCCACCACCACCACCTGCAAAGCGGACCGGAGCGGGGTGGCCCTGCGGAGCCCGACTACCGCCTGGGGCTTGGTGAGCTGGGGCACAGCACAAGGGAGGAGCCTCCTCCGCCAGGCTACGCCCCTGGGCCGGCCTCTGAGCCTCTGCCGGGGCGAGGAGAGGCGGGGCCGGAGGGGGACAGAGGCTGGCCGGGGCACGAAGGGAGGAGGAGACATGCTTTCCTGGCGCTCTGGGCGCTGAATCCTGGGCTGATTGGAAGCGGGTGCCTGAAAGTTTCAGGTCACTTCCATCGTGCATTCCAGTCTTTCTATATTTTGTAATCGGTTTTGTCTGGTCTCTTCCCGCCCCCACTTTACTGCAGGGAGAAGGCCAGATAGGGCGCCTCTGCGGAGGGGCATTGCGGTCGAGTGAGGCCAGTGGGTGCCAAGGCGCCTGGGGAAACAGCGGCGCCCTTGGTTTCAGCGAGGCACAAAGGATCCAGCGGGAAGGGGCATGCTGTTGAACGGGCGCCCAGAAAGCCATGCTGGGGGCGGACAGCGGCCTCACTGTGCCCCTCGGAGATCTGCACCCTAGGCCGTCGCCCTAGTTGGCCTAGTGGAAGAGCCGGCCCTGTTTGTGATCTACTGGCATTAAAGTTGTGAGCTACTGGCATTAAAGCTACTGCATAAATTAGTTTGCTCCGGAGCCATCCTTCCTGAGCTAATACAAAAATGTGTGAGATGGAGGCTAAAAAACTGTGAGCTACCTCACACTAGCTCAGCTTACAGGGGACACTGCTTGTGAGATAGGTGGGGCTGAGAGAGTTCTGAGAGAACTGTGAGTGGCCCAAGGTCACCCAGCAGGCTTCCTGTGGAAGAGCAGGGAATCAAACCCGGTTCTCTAGTTTAGACTCCACCCCTTTTAACCACTACACCACACTGGCTCTGCAATTTAAACATGATAGATAGCTGCACTGATCCACAGAAAAAAACAAAACTCATATAATGTCTTTTATTTGTTGTTGTTAGCCATTCAGTCGTGTTCGACTCTTGGCGATCCTATGAACCCGCTCTCTCCACGTTTTCCGATCTTGTACTGTTTCTTTGAGTTGTTCCACGCTCAGGTTGGTGTCGACTTTTATGGTGTCTAGCCACCATGTTCTTTTATTAAGACCAACCAAAATGTTACAAATGTGAACTTTCAATGTCTCCGGAACCCGTCTGCAAGTTGGATGTTCAGTACAAAATGG